AAAAGCAGAGGCAGCGGCTCCCCTCTCAGCTCTCACAGCTTTTAAAGCCTCATGTATCAGCCTCCACAGCGTGGAGAATTGGCTCGCTTCCTTGGATCCCGTACTAATTTCTTCCCACAGTTTCGTTCCTATATCCACCCAAGTCTGAACTTCAATGGCAGCATTAACTGAGGGGATTAAGTCCTTTCTCCGTGCCCAAAGCAACAGAGACTTCAAGGTAGCCGAGTCATATTGTAACCCTCTCAGGGAGAGGATGTGTTGGAGGAGTTTGACCACTGCTGACTCTTCCTATGTCAGTGTGGACCCCATCTCCTCCCCGGCCGTCTGCTTGATCAGGGCAGGGTTTCCGGGAAATCTTTTCCCGAATGGTGCGCTGGCGACTCCCGAGTGCCGGGGCAGCACTCACCTTCGGCCGGGTTCCGCTCCCTCAGACTGCGGTCTCCGTGGAAAATTCAGCCGTGCCGATATCTGGGGGTCCAGCCCTCAGTCTTTGGTTTTCCTGGAGAAATCAGCCGTAGATGCTAATGCCGATCTGAGGGTCCCTGTTCAGGCGCCATTTGTGGTGGCGTGGGCTCAAGGACTCGACCAATATGATCCATAACAGTCAACTTTATTAGCAGAGAATCTGGACTATATAGACAGCACTCGGTTATGATTAGTCACTATACATAAACCCTCTATACAGCACTCAGCTATGATTGGTCACTATGCATAAAACACCTATGAATAAAACACCCGGGTTACATGAGCAGTATTCAACTGTGATTGGTTATTATTCATAGAACGACTGTTTACCTGCAGCTGGCCTGAGAATGACTGTCTTTCCCACAGCCAGCCTGAGAATGTCTGTTTTCCCACAGCCAGCCTGAGAATGGTCTTGAGGCCTGTGCTGCTTGAAGCCTGTGCTGCTACAAACCGATCGAGTCCATATTCAGAGTGTCTGGGTTGCTTCACAATATGTCCCTGTTCTTCCAGAAAGCCCACATGAAGGTACTGGTCAGATGACACTGTAACACACTTCACTACAAGAGGACACAAATCTCTTCATCAAAATTAATCAGGCATGCTGGCAGACACTTTGCATCACAATTATGTGCAGCACAGGAGGATGATGCTATAGAAAGGTTACACAAGGTGGCAGTGGTCACTGAGGTGGCTGGTGGTACTCAAGTAGAGCATATTTGATGAAAGGGCACTTTCAGACCACACTGGCATATGCACTAACTATTCTTTTAGGCTACAGAAAAAGAGAAAATTAAATCCTTTAATGAGCAGAAGATCTAAAACATGCCAGTCCTGTTCCTAAGGTACTGAAAAAGCTGACAGGGACTGAGTCACCAGGTATGTGGTTCTAGAGACCAAATTCTGCAGTTAAGGCACTGCTTCACATGCACTCTGCCTTCAATATTACTTACTTAGCATATCCACATTTTTTTTCATCCATAACCTCAAGGTTTTAAAATTGGAAACATTATTAACATGCCCTTCTGGTGGGAATCATTGGGAAAAGTGGGAAAGACACAGCAGTGTCGACTGAAAAGCAAGGACATTTAAAATTTGAAACATCTGTGAAGTAATTTGTTTTTGTTATTGGTGGATCTGAGTACACACACAAGGAAAAAAAAATGGTGCAAGGAAAGCAGGATTAAGAATAGTTCTTCCCCTAAGAGACTAACTACTAAGGGTCCTGCCTCACTCCTAAGAAGCCTGGGGAATTTTTCACCTTGCTGCTATTGTGTCTGTGTTGGGAGTGGAAGGTAAGAGGTAATTTAGATCACTCTTGCTACAAGTGTTTGAGAACAGCAAGAAATAAAAAGAATCTCATATATGAAGACTACATATCTGCATGTCAGATATCATGTAAAACAGACTGGGAAGTGGCTAACATGCAGCATGACCCAAAGCCACATCTAAAGTTCCTGCAAGTTAAAGCAAACATTTTGGCTTAGACTGTCATATTTACACAACTGTAAAGTCTTCTGCGAACTTGACATTGCCGAATTCAGCGAATGCTTTGGATATTTTCTTTTAATTTGAAAATTCAGATACTTTTGCACCTAAGCTATGATACTGTAGCCTAAGACGAAACAAACAAAACCAAGCCAAAATCGGTCGGTGAGAAAGTTTAGAAATTTGGATCTGATATTTTCCTTGCCACTTTTCGCCTACAAATATGCAAGACAGAATTTCATGGCTATTTACAAATGCATGCTAAGGATTGATCCTCCTCAAAGGAGAACTTGGTGCAGAAGTCATAAATGATGTGTACAGCCAGTCAGGTCCTGATAGAAATATGTGGCAATATTGTAAGCACTTTAAACATGGATTAGTCACACAACACTGCTATTATTTCCGGAACATGTTATTTTTAAGAGACTTTTATTTGTAGAAGAGGTATTTCTATGAGTGTAGTCATGAGCTACCGAGCTATTGAGTATGTATGCATTTCTGTATAACAAGTTTGTGTATTGTGACTATTGATGCTTAGTTCATTCAACATAACAGGAAGGAAGAGTTAGTTGCGTGATCAGTTCATGTGAAATCATTAACATCTGCAAATTAGGAAATTTAAGGAAGTTCAAAAGCAGTAAGGGAAATGATAAACTGACCCCCTTTCTGACTTGCAGCATTTGCTACTTAATACTGGCATGCAGTAAAAGACGACTAACTGGCTGAGCAGAACGCCTACTGATGCCTGCACAACCACAGCTACAGTTTCAAGTGTCCTTGCAGCTGTGATCCAAAATCAAACAAGATAAAGGCACAGGGTTTTTTCAAGAGGAGGTATGTCTCTGTATGTTGTCCATTGTTTTT